GAGAGTCTCACATTTCAGACTTCAAATTCCCATCATTTTAAAGGGCCCTGGGAAATCATGGGCAGATTTGCAGACACTGCCAGGAACCTTAATATGTAGGTGAAAGCAGGTAGTCTCCAAAGTCAAAGATTCCCTTCAGCAGCTAAGAAAGCATGGCCTGGATCTTGCTCAGATTTTTGTATGCACAAGGAGGCAATGGTTTTCGCTGGACCATGTTTTGGGCTGCCGTGGAAGGGCGAAATCACCAAAAATCACCCCCCACACACACACACAGTCGTGTGCCTGCAGAAATCTTGGTAGGATCCAGGGGTCATTTCCTGCGGGAGCGCACAGGAGCGGAGCTCCGACAGTAAGGAGCCCAGGGGGTGGGCACATGCAGCAAGCCCCGCCCCCTGCTCCCAGCAGCCCTCAGTCAGGCCACAAGGAGCAAGAAGCAACCAGGTAAGTTGCAGAGCCCCCCCCACCACCACCTTCAGGTACAAGCTCTCCCTCCTCTGTGAGGGCAGAACTGCGCGTTCCCCCCCCCAATAGCTAGCAATCCAAAACAGTCCAGTGGAGCCTAAGCGGTGGGTGTTGCTTTCTGACACACTTCCAGTGATGCCAGGGGGTGTGGCGTATGCAAACAAGTTATGCTAATGAGTTATGCTAATGAGCTCCTGCACCTCTTTTTCTACAAAATGACCCCTGGTAGGATCCAACCCTTTATTTACAGAATGCAAGCTGTAGCTACTAGTAATGTATGCACACTCCATAGGAAGTGCACTGTGCCTCACACCCACTCATGGCTGAACAGTTGTCTAAGATTATTATTTTTTTAATCTCTGGAATGATTTGGATGGATTATGATGAGCAGAAAGGCAATATCCTGCAATACAAAAGGGGCTAATCATTCAGGGGTTCCAATAAAATTAGAAGTGTATCGTCTATACCACCCTAGGTTATTACTGCCCTATACATGGCTGCGGGGAAATGGAATCCAGCTCCAATCCCAGTCAAGAGACAGTGGCATCTGAGCTATTTCGAGCAGATAGTATTTCCCTAGGCACTATGCTTTCCTCACTACTGTCCAGAAATACTGTGACCCAGGGGTGGGACATTCCCTCAGCTGAGAGAAATGTTAAGAATTCAGAGAACACCACACACAACCCTATCCGGAACACCAGGATGAACTGCAGCAGTACATATACCCAGTGATTCTACTGACAGTCTTGCACCTGTTTTGCAGCTTGAGCGGATCCCAAATTCCTTTGTTTACTCCATGTATGTTTACTGTCAACCTATCCTCCCTTTTCAAAGTCTAGCCAGCACCGCATGCAGAGACCAAATCTTTCAGATTTGTTAAATTCTAGACTTTATATCAAGTTTCTACGAAATGTGAGTCAACACTTATACCTGGGATAAAGTACAGCCATCACTTTGTCTAAGGAGCTACAATTTTCTTAATCAGACAAAGGTCACAGGTCATACAGAATGGAAAATGAAAGACAGACACGTATTGCACTTTTAGAGATATGAAGGCTCAGGGGAAAAGTAGGGGGAAATGTGGTCAGGAACCATCACGAAACCCTAGGACATTTCCACCTAGGTCTTTCTCATGGAAACCTTAGAAATGTGTGGGAACACTGAAAAAGAAGTGCATTGAACTAAATGCAGCTACCTACAATCTCTTTTTTAAAATTTATTAGGATATAATCAACAAAGTCAAACATAAGTCACAAACATTTATACTTATACATCCTACCCTCCTCCCTCCCCCCTCCCGTGCGGCTTCCCACAGTGCTCCAACCTCCTGCTCATTTCTTAGATCTTCTTCAACCCACCTTTTCCTTTTTCCCCTTTACACATATCTATAGGTAACTTCTCCTTCCATTTTTTGTTTTTATATCTTAATCCATTTTTAATGTCTATTAACTTTCAATAATTGTCAAAGCTAAATAAACTGTCCCTTACATCCCAATTCTTTTCTAGATAGTCTTTAAAGTCTTTCCAGTCTGCCATGAAGTCTTCTGCTTCCAAGTTATTAAGTTTCCTTGTCAATTTGTCCATTTCAACCATAAAAAGTAATTTCTTAATCCAGTCCAGCTACCTACAATCTCTTAAGATTATGGAGCTGATTCTATTTTAAGTTAGCCAGTGTGGTATAGTAATTAGTTTCATGTCAGGATATAGGAGACCCAGGTTCAAATCCCCACTCTGAAATGGAATACTGCCAGGTGACCTTGGGCCAATCACATACACTTAGCCTAAGCTACCCCACTGGGTTGTTGTGGGGATAAAATGGAAGACAGGAGTACAATGTAAGCTGCTTTAGGCCCCCACTGGGGAGAAAGGCAAGGTATAAATGAAACAGATTTCAAATATTTATTCTCCACCTTTCAATGTAAAAGTTTTCCCAATGGCTATGAGTTGTCAGCGCTACATAAGCACCTGTTTCAATCAGAAGGTGAAAGGGCTTGCAGGTCTCCACTGATCCAAGCACTTCCATTTGCTTGGCATACGCAGATAGTGCTAATTTCATCTAAGGCTACGAAATTGCCCGACTGGTCAATATACAATCTGAAGGCATCAAAATAATGAATAAATAATTTGACAAAACTGACGCGTGACCTGGGAGTGGGCGCGAAAATCCCTTTGGCTTGCTAATGATACCGAAGAGGGTCAGCGCAGGCGCACACTATCCCAAGGGTGTGACGCACAGAGACCACGAAGAAGATCTCCCCATCACCATTCATCTGTGGAGCCCTACCCATCTAACCCTGCAGATGACTTCAGAGCAGCTAAGCAACAGGCAACCAGAAGGCCCTATGATACACCTCTGCCTGCAGACACACCCCCAGCAGGTCAGCCAATTGCAACAGGAGAGCCTGAGCAGGTCAGAGATCGAGGAGAGTACAGGAGAGGTTCTACTTGCTGTGATGCAATCAGAACTTTCCAGACTATGGAAATGCTAACGTTTTGTAAACATGTGACAGCAAAGCACTTGAACAAACCCTACCACAACTTGAGGAGATGGTGCTTAAGGCTCATATGGACTGCTTACTCATCTTTGCATTAATGAAATAGAACGTACTTGATCTCTGAAGTTCATGGGTACCA